GACATTCGCATTTCCTGTATTCCCCCCTGAATCTGTTCCCCAACTTGTTCCCCCTCAATTATTCCTCCCCCCCCCCCCCCCTTGGCATCATAAAAAGATTAGTAGCAAGCATTAAGCAAAAAAGAAGTCCAGCTTAGTTAACTCCTGCCACATATGTGCACACAAACATGACTAAAAACAAAGCATAAGAGCAATGTATACGCACCAAAAGGAGAAAGCTTTCATTAATATTTGGATATTTAAGCAGGGAGTAGTTCCATTGTTGCCAACACATTTACAAAATAAACAACAAAAACAAGAGTACCAGTCATAAACATCATCAGAACTTGACACTTGGGAAAGGGACACTATTTAGGGAACACTAGAAGGAGAAGGCCCAGATGAAGAGGCAAGGGTTCTAAGAAATACGTCAATTTTAGAATTAGCTGACACCTGCTCGTTGAGCAGTCTCTACTTTGAGTCCTCAACCTATTTCCTGAGGTCGGCATTTTCTCTTGTCAGATAGGCAACCTCCGTGCTTTGAGAGCTGCTGGAACCAGGTTCCTCCTAAATGGCATTCCTTGCCTTCAGCTTCCTTATGTACGGCCCCACAATACCTTTTGGTTTTTCAGTTTTTCCTTTCCAGCGTCTTGGGTATCACCAACCTTGGTTTTCTTGGAAGAACCAGGCTCCTCACTGGCATCAACCTTCCTTTTCACTGATTTTCTAACACTCTTGCCTTTCTCTGCAGATTTCCTGGAGATCTTCTCAGCAGACTCCTCAGCCACTTTTCCACATGACTCCTCAACCATTTTCTCATCCTCTTTCTCACCAGATTTTTCACCCTCAACCTTCCTCAACTCCTTTTCACTCACAGATGACTCCCTCTTGGACTTTGGAACAATAAGTTTCTTTGAGGACTTACGAACCAAGGGACCAGGTTCCTCTTCTACCTCATCATCCACATTGACGACTAGTGTAGAAGCCACTACATTCTCATTGACAACCTTTTCATCTTTCACCTATCTCCTCTTCTTCTTTTCCTTTTTACTTTTCCTTAAGACGGACTCAAGTTCTTCCTTCTTTTGCAACCTCGTGATGGGTCTCTGAGACATTGACCCATGGGGAGGTGCCTTTCTACTCCTAGCACTAATAAAGCTTGCCAGAGCCACATTATCATAATCTTCTTCACTATCCTCCTTCTCCTCCTCAGACAAAGATCGCATCTCATGAACCATAATTGTTAATGGCTCAGTATAGAAATGAGGAGAGGGAGCAGGATCAGTACTGACCTAGGTTCTTGTGGAGAACCAGGGGTTTTATCCCAAGTGGAAGCAGAGGGCTCCTCTTGGGCGGAGGGATCAGGTCCCTCGATTGGTTCCCCAGCAATACTATCAGGTGCTAAAGTTTCGACAGGCACCAGTTCCCTACCCTCGACCTCTGCACCATTTTCTTCCCCTGAGACTCAGACACAACCTCATAACCTCTAACCAGAGTTCCCTTAGCAGCTATTGACATCATATTTTCTTTAGCTGTTGTTCTTGTAACTCCAAACTAACTTCAGAAGGCATAAGAGGAGCATTATCTGTAAAAACAAGGCCTGGGGTTGTCATTGTTGCTTTATCACTGGTATGAACCACATCCTGTCCTTTCTCAAATCGTTCCTCTACTGGTTGGCTAGAAACTTCTTGATTGTCTACTTCCTCCATTGTAACTTCTTCGACCTTTTTTTTTCGGCGAGGCAGAAGGAGAGGTCGCAACCACAAATTTCTTGGGAGTCGAAGTTTTGCGACTCCGATGAGAACCTGTACTCGACTGGGTTGGAGAGGAAGCAGAGGGTGGTTGTGACTCTGGGTTAGGGTTTGGACTAGTCGGAGTGGGAAGTGTGGGCTCTATCATTGGTGCTTCAATAGATGAAGACACAGTGGGGACGCTCTTTGAGTATTCTGGGTTTCTTGATTGTCATACGTGTTGGAAGAGGAGAGTGTTTGGTTAGAATAATGAAAAGTGGAATTTTGGATTTTTTTATGTGAACAATTATGAGAGTAATCGTGAGAGGAGCTATTTAATAAGGGTGAGGAGCCGATTAGGAATGGGTATCAATTTTGGGTAGTCGGGTCGCTTCAGGCGGGTTCAAAAAGCGGGAAAAAGAGAAACTGACAATTTAATGACGTGGCACCGTTTCAGCCATTTAAAAATTATGCATGAGAATACAGAGGAACTACTAACCTATGTCAAGGGAGCCAGGTTCCCTGACAGATTTTGTAAATGTAAGCCTCATCCTTTGACCAATGTGCAATGCATTAGCTACTTGTTTGCTCTATAATAGTCATGCGTGTCTACCTATAACGGTATAGAGATGAGTTAGACTTTGCTAGAAAACACTTTTTAGCTATTTTACCTGTACATTTCTTTCATAGTCAATCATCGAGGGACCGGGTCAGATTGGATCGGACTTGTAGAGTTCGGTTTCGGATTAATCGGTTTGGATATTTTGGATTTTCAGTTTTGAGCTTATAAGTTGAGATGTTTCTTATTTTCAAAAAAATAAATATCCAAATGAAGTACTCGTGTTAAATTGCCTGAAAGGCTCTCCATTTTCACCATAATCATCCAAATAAAGTATTTAAGTAATGAAATTACTATAAAAAAAATACAATAGAGACACTATTACGGCCGATAAGGAGTAGAAATAGTAAAATCATGTCCAAATAGAAAGTGTATTTCACAGTAACTTAGTAGTTAATATTGAATATATGAGATAATATTTAATAGGTAGGGTATTGAACTTATTACTATTGACATATGGATAATGGACTAAATAAAAAGTATAAAAATATCGGATTTTCAGATATTCTAAAATTCGAAGTACCAAATTTAATATTCAATCCAAAATTCAAAATTTTAAAAATTAATCCGCAATCCGAAGATCCAAACGAAAAATTTAAAAAAAGGGATTTTTTCCTTCCTATACCATATATGAAAGTTTATTACCAAAAATGTGCATATTTTGTATATTACCCGCCCAGTCCACATTTTACCTACAAAATTTGTACCATTCGACTATTAGGCATTAAAGGAGCAGAATATTCCCTAGAAAACGCGCTAAAATTAAGGAGAGAATCTTGATGATAATTGATTCTACATTAAATTCAATTTTTAAAAAGGGAAAGGAGATTTCTCATCTGCGTTTTTTTCTCCAGAACTACAATTCAAATTCTGAAAAAAAAAAAAAAAGAACGAACAGCTCCTAAAAATAAGAACAGATTCAACTACTAAGAGTTTCGACGAGCTGAATTCAAATTGTAGAATTCAAAATTTTCGAGTTTCAACAACTCAAAGTTGAAAAAATCTATTCTTAGTCGTTGCTTCTATCAAAATATCGATCAGATATATCTATTCTTCATCTTTTCTTCTTTCAATCTAGAAATCCAAAAAAAACATCAACATCAACAACAAATCATGTCCAAAATCGCAATCATGCTACAATTTAATGGGGATTGGGATAATTATGACAGATTTAGAGATTTTGAAGTTGATGCCATTGTGGTAGATGAGAATGCAGCTACAGTATCCTGATTTCTACAATTGCAGAACAAGTATCAATTGATACTACAGAAAAAATTGTAGAAATCAAATACATCGTGAAATCAAATAGTAGATTGTATATAATTTGTAGACAAATTGTAGTTAATTTGTAGATTGTAGATAATTTGTAGATATAATTGTAGATACGTTGTAGATAAATTGTAGATAAACTATTTTATGATTGTAAATATTTTTATTGCTGTTTGTTATGTAATTCTAGGTGAGGGCTTCAACAGATCATATCCATACTGTGATAGATGGTGTGAAGCGGTACATGAATCCTACATTATAACTACTATTAACTACAACAACTCTACAATTATGTATAAAACCAGTTCTACAATTCAAACAAATTTACCTACAGTTTACCTACAGTGAATGTACAAATTACCTACAGTTTAAGTACCTAATATAAGAATAACTACAATTTACCTACAGTTACAGGGCAAACAGGAAACACATCATCCACAATCATGTCTACACTATATCTGCATTTTAGACTACAATTAATCTTGGAATGTTCTACATAAATTACAAACTAACTACAATTACACTACAAACAGTAAATCTAGGTGAGGGCTTCAACAGATCATATCCATTACACTAAATCTACAATTACACTACAATTACACTACAATTACACTGCAATTACACTACAAATATACGACAAACAGTAAATCCAGGTGAGGGCTTCAACAGTCAGTATTTCTAAGTCGTTTGGAGAAGTTGTCGGCAGCTTTTCATATTAGTCTCTTTACCAATAAATTTCTCATTTTTGACTTTTCCAGAAGAGGGAATTTTGTTTGGTACCCTAAAAAAAAAACTACTAAAGTGTATCTGTTTTCATTGTTTTGCTAGTTCGTGGCGTATTAAAATGTTTGTTGCAACTTTTGATTTCATGTAGACTTTCAGAAAATCAGATCACATGCCACAATTGTTGCAGATGAAATTGGCACGACATTCAAATATAATGAGATTTCGCTGGCTAATGCATCTCAAGGACATCTTTCGTTGATTGATCTTGCAATCGTGGATGAAGAACAAGAAAGAATGTGGGGTATGGGTAAAAACGTGAGTGAGGGGGTGAGGGGTAAGGAGAGAGAAACGTGAGATATATGGATACCTTTAATTAATGAGTAAAAACTGCCCATTAATTAGATATGGATACCTTTAATTAAGGAGTAAAAACAGCCCATTAATTAGACCCTTAATTAAGTATGGTATAGGATTGGTAATTTGGTATACTAAGTGTAATTTACTCAAACCTTAAACATGTAGGGTAAAAAGGTTTCCTATGTGGTATAGAAATGTAAAAATTCATTAAAAAAATTTGAATTTTGGGTTGCCCAAACTATGGCGACCCTGCTCTCCGGCCCTGCGTTTATGTGGTAGTACTATAATATTTCCAGATCAAGAAAGAGAAATGGCAAAAGCGGTAATAAAGTAAAGATCCAAGTGCCTAGTGGTAAGAGGAGGAAAGCGTGGACAGAAATGTTGATTGCATAGACGACAACTCAATACAGTCTCACACTCACTCAATTAAGTGCCGGTCCACCATCCCCATTAGACCCTTGTCTTTCTGTCTCTTCCACTTCACTTTCCTCTGTTTTCAGCTTCAATGGCTAAAGACCCAACTCTCTCCGCAGGGAAAATGTCCTCCTGCTTCGACACTAAGCCTTTAATGGCCACATTGCTTGCCTTCACCCTTGTTATGCTCATTTGGAATCTTCAGCCTTACTACGATACCATCATTAATTCCCCTGCCTCTCCCACTCCCACTCCCTCTTCTTCTAAACTCTCCATTTCCGATCCTAACAAGAGAACCTTCCGTGCCTACGGCAATGCCGCCTCTCTCTTCGTCCAGATGGGCGCCTATCGCGGCGGTCCTACCACTTTCGCCGTCGTTGGTCTCGCTTCCAAACCCCTTCACGTCTTTGGCCGCCCTTGGTATAAGTGCGAGTGGATCCCCAACAGCAATGGCAATACCAATGCCAATGCCTCCTCCTCTGCTTCTAAGAACCTCAAGGCCAAAGCCATTAAGATCCTCCCCGACTGGGGCTACGGCCGTGTCTACACTGTAGTCGTCGTAAACTGCACATTTGCCGTGAATCCTAACATCGATAATAAGGGAGGGAAGCTCATTCTCTACGCTTACTACAGGGAGTCACCTAAAAGATATGAGAAAATCACAGCATTGGAGGAAGCGCCGGGGTCTTACGATGAGTCCAAGTTCAGCCCGCCATATCCCTACGAGTACTTGTATTGTGGTTCGTCCTTGTATGGCAATGTGAGTGCGTCCAGGATGAGGGAGTGGATGGCCTATCACGCCTGGTTTTTCGGGCCCAGCTCCCATTTCGTGTTTCACGATGCCGGTGGGGTGTCACCGGAGGTAAGAGCGGTGCTAGAACCGTGGATACATACTGGCCGGGTCACGCTTCAGGACATAAGGGACCAGTCCGAATTCGATGGGTACTACTACAATCAGTTTTTGGTGGTGAATGATTGCCTCCATCGCTACCGACACGCTGCCAATTGGACCTTCTACTTTGATGTGGACGAGTACATTTATCTTCCCGACCGCAACACTCTCGAATCTGTGCTAAGACAGTTCTCCAACAATACACAGTTCACGATTGAGCAAAATGCCATGTCCAGCATGCTCTGCTTCAACGATTCCTCTCAGGACTATTCCAGGTATATATTCTACAAGTTCCAACTTCTCCTTTCTCTACTTGTACTACTCCGTAGACTTCATCACTGAGCTGATTAATATTTTGCTTCTTTTCCATTTATATGCCTTTAGCCATTGTCGTTCTTGTTTTCCTATTACTATGTCGCTTCATTAATTGCTTCCAATTTTCTTTATTGGGCAACTAAAAGGCATTCTGTTAGAGCCTCCATCTAGTTGAGCTAATCAGGAACTACAACTTAATTGATCTTTTAATTCCTATTTGCTTATTAGCTGAGAGGCATTTTTGTGCTTCATTGGCGTCATCAGAATTAGGGGTTGCTGCTCTAGTTTCGTACCAATAAATGCCTGTGCTGTTTGACTTTGATTGTTAGTCAACCATTTGACATTATGAACGAATGTACAAGAATCTCAAGCTTTTCTTACTTAATTTTCAGTGCATTTGGTGTTTGCATTTAGAAAATATAGGATGCAGTCAATAGCATTGTTCAAGTAGTCACACTTCTTTCTAGGACTGACCATCAAATAAGCAATGAAACTAAAAACCATAGACAGTTCTGTGCTCCTACATACCCTCCATTTGATAACCTTGGGTTGGTTTTTCTTTCCTTTGCTCATGTATGGTGGTTGATACAGGCAATGGGGCTTCGAGAAGTTACTGTTCAGGGACTCAAGAACTAACATTAGGAGAGATCGGAAGTATGCTATTCAGGCAAAGAATGCATATGCAACAGGTGTACACATGTCCGAAAATGTAATAGGGGGGACGTTGCACCAGACAGAAACCAAGATTCGCTACTATCATTATCACAACTCCATCACTGTACACGAGGAGCTCTGTCGTGAGCTTGTACCCTTGTCTTCTAAGCATAACATTACCTGGTTCGATAAGCGACCATATGTATACGATGACAACATGAAGAAGCTCGCCCAAACCATCAAGGATTTTGAGCGCCATACCATCAATGTAGCTCCCGACCATACCACCAACTCATAGGAGTACATTAGTTCTTCCTTTCAACATCACATACAATATTAAATACTTTAGTCTGATTATAGGTTTTTACCACATTTACCACAATGAAGAGAAGGAACAACCTTGAATTACAAATCCCGATTGGTGAAAAGTATTACGTAGTAGAGTAACAGATATTGGCAGAGCTCTTCTTTTCCTCTTTGTGGCTTGAGTGTGTCTGTCTCATCTGGAGTGCTGTTGAAGCGTGCCCTACTCTTCAATGTTGTGGGTAGTTGGTTCTTGCCAGCAAAGCAACACTCCCCTCCTCCTGTGGGGTTGGGACATGAGGCTCACCACAGTTCTGCTTCCTCTGTGGCTCGATTGGTTTAGAATATGAAATCATTTGTATGCACAAATTGCCAAAAGGGAAAGAGTTAGGTCTATTGGTTGATTTGGGGAAAAGAGGGAGATCAGGGGCCTCCAAGTCCCCACCAGGATTTGTCTGTAAATGGTAAGCGTTCTTGTTTCTTATATATGACTATGATGTATTGAACTTTTCCTTGTTAAACTTGTCCAGATATCTCATATAGCCACTTAAGTTGTTATTGTAGTGACTATTTTCACTCATGTAAGTTGCAGTTTGTGGATTTAAACAAGTTACTTTAAGAATAAATGCCACTGCTATAGGAAACTCGTTGGCCTTTTGTCTGTGTAGTACAGTACTGAAAATATAAATTTTAACGTGACTATGTAAAGTTCGTAGCATTCATTATGCATCATTCTTATGTCTTCATTTTTAAGGAACCACTGTAAAGATTATTATTTGTTTAATTGAAGAAAAAGTTGCTCCATTTGTATGTACAACTAATGGATTTTAATGATTGAAAATGGGTAGGCGATTTGCTCTTTCTTAAAATATAAAGTAAAATAATTATATAGGTCCAACAAATGATGAAGGCGCACATGTCCTTTTGCATAATTATTTCTCTAATCTTTCCAATTAAAATGATGCAACCAACTTTTTGTGGTTAATAAGTGTAGCCTATAAAGCTTTAGCCTGTTGGTTAAGACAAGACTATGCTCTCATGCTTTGGAGTTTAGATATCATATTATAATTATATCTCTCCCAATATATTAATTCGAGTATATAACCACCCAAATTTAGCAATTTGGTGAATTATTGAGAGATAAACTATTAAAATGAGCTTTCAGTGACCTGTGAGATGAGTTGGCTGGGTTAGGTCAACAGGATGTAACCCGATAAGGGTTTAAAAAAAAGCTTTTCTTTTATTTGTCAACGGTTAAAAAGAACTTAACCGTGACATTTTTTATTAGCAAATCGTCCACGTGAAAAGGAAAAAACTTGCACGAATTTAATGAGAAACAAATAATTTTGTCGTGTCACTATGGTTAAGTGCCATGCATTCCAATTATAATTTGTAATTGTTTTGATTAATTAATTTGATTTGGTGCAAATAATTATTTTCCATGGAAGACCTGGATGATGATATGGCAAAGTCATGTTCTGTTTCCCCTCTATATTTCTCTGGAACGAATGTTATCCTCCACCATCACTCTATTAATATCAATTTGTCACAATGTAAGTGAAAGAAACAAATTAAACACACAAATTTTTGGCAATCTATGATGTGGTAAAGATAATCAAACTATAATTACTTATTGAAACCCACGGGCGATCACGATTTTATATTATTTTAACTAACAGTAATTAGGGATGACAAAATTTATTGACGTATTCATCAAATTGTTCATTATGGTGTTTCCTATTACAAGCATCAACATGATAAAGTCCATCGTGTTACATGTTGTTCATGGGATAACAAATATCTTAGACTTCATCTAAACAAATGGTGAAAAAATAAAATCCATTAATGTTGAACATTCATGACAAACTTTAACCTTACAAGTTATTTGCATGACTGATAAACAAAACAAACGAAAAAGAAAAAACATGCAGGGCTCGAAATCGAAATTGATAATTTAAGATTATGGTTTTCTTTGGGTAGGCTCGTCGTTTATGGAAAGAGAGCAAGCCCATTCCGACATGGATGCCTCTTATTAGCAAGTCCAAAAAATATCGGGTTGTGATCCACCCAAATACCTAGTTGGACATCGCTTCTGCCCAACTATTGAAAACAAAAATGTAATGACTATTACTGTCAATGATCGTCTGGTTCGTAGGGGTAGAGAATCAAATGGCTTATCCTTAAAAACTATTTTTATATATGGTTGGAAGGGGAAACAAATGCTAAATTATTCACTTTGAACAAAATGACTAACTACACTGAACTACATGTTAAGAGACCTCCCTTTTAGTATAAAAAGATTTTCTGACCTTCCCTCCATTTTTTAACCTTTGTTGATATATACTGCATCAATTTTATTCTTAAGAAAATACATTTATTTATATTGGATTGCAAGTGTAACTTTAAACTCTTACTCACGTTGGTATATTTCTGCTCCTCTTTTTGTCAACAAAACATATACATACTAGTATTTGTTTGTTCATTTAATATGGGAAGCAATAGATGATGCAATGATATAAATAAATATTTTATGAGACGATCATTATCCTTTCTATTTTTGAATTTTAGTACGAATAGTGAATTATTACATGGTGGTTAATAAAAGCATATTTGTATCAAATTAGTGACAGACCGCCTTACAAATGTCTTTTTTGAGTCGCTTTCCTTCTAGTCTTTCCCTCTTCCCTCACCACCGTCTCTGCCTTTCATTTCCCTAACACAGACAGTCACATCATTGCTCACCTCTTCCTTTACCTCTTAATTAACCCCTGAGACGTTATTGTTCTTCCTTTAGCTCAATTATCCATCTCTTGCTTGCTCAAGGTTCCTCTCCTCTCTTTCTTTTTTTACTTCTTCTTGAAACTAGTTAAGTATTAATCTAGCTTTGCTCCTCATCCCCCAAACCAATTTTCCTTTGACTAATTGTTTATTGAGTATCAAATTATCATGGTAATTTATGTGTGACTATTATCTTTAATCCTGTGTATTTCTTTAATTTGTTTTTTGGTTTTTGCTACAACCAATACGGAATAGGCTTAGCTTGTTTTGGTGCATTTGGGTTTCCTTTCTCAAATTATTTTTCAAGCATCACTAGTTATGAAGACTTAATTACTTATCTGTTATTTGTTCTGTGTTGGTGCCCAATAGGTGAGTGAAGTGATTGGAATGAGGAACGATGATTTTGGACCGCCATGGTTGAAGCCACTGCTCAAGTCTAACTACTTCCATACTTGTCCAGTTCATGAGGATTCAAGTAAGAGTGAATGCAATATGTATTGCTTGGACTGCATGGGAACTGCTCTCTGCTCTTACTGTTTGAGCAATCACAAAGACCATCGCCTTGTTCAAATAAGGAGATCATCGTACCATAATGTGGTGAGGGTGAATGAAATTCAGAGATACATCGACATTTCATGCATTCAGACATACATTATCAATAGCGCCAAGATTGTGTTTCTCAATGAGCGGCCGCAGCCCAGACCTGGAAAAGGTGTAACCAATACTTGTGAAATCTGTGGCCGAAGCCTACTTGACTCATTCAGATTCTGCTCCCTAGGCTGCAAGGTAAATTCTTTTGTCTCGTACATGTTCTACACTTGCTGCATTTTTTGTGCATTTCCTACATGTTTATATATGGACAGTTTTTCTGGTTATAGCTGATTCAATCTGATACTATTAATCTGGAAAGTTGGAAGCAGTTATCGTTTCTGTTTTCCCTGTTTCATATGACCCCAAACTTAGTGTAAATGTTACAGCATGCTCCCTAGCTCATCCAAGATGACTCTTGGCCAAGATTTCAATATTCAATTCAATTTTGTTCTAAATTGGTTATATATGGAACATTTTGGTTAATTAAGAACGTTATTTTACTCTCTTCCTGTTATATATTTTACTAGTGGAGCAATTAGTATGGAGGGATGCAGGGCGGAGCTAGAGTGCGGGGAGCGGGTTTGGCCGAACCCAATAACTTTGGTTCAAACTCTATATTTGTCTTAAAAATCTATTATTTATTTAGAATCCAGTAACTTAGACACATAAGCTTGAAATCCTGGCTTCGCCTGTGGCAGGATGTATTTATCTTCTCTGGTAGCTTCACCTATATGAGAGTGAGTATGTATTACTTTGCTGGGCTAGAGTAGTGTTTGACTATTCCTACGAACTTTACTCCTACTAACAATAAGTAATTTTAATGCGATTTTGGGTTGGAGCAGCTGAATGGTATAAAGCGAGGTGATGAAGAGTTGACATTTACAGCGAAGGTGAAGCCTAATCAAGGCTTTGAATCAGATGAATCATCGACCCCTAAGAAGAGGCAACGCAGAGTATTTGGGTTTCGTCATCTGAATATTGAGGGACATAATGCATATTCCGATCCTCTTGAGACGGACAAATCATTTGGCTCTAATTCTGGAGATGAAGAAGCATTCCGCATCTACAATATGTCTCCTGATACGCCTCCTATCTACAACCACAGGAATTCAAGCAGGAGGAAAGGCATCCCCCATCGTGCCCCTTTTTAATACACAGCAAAACAATAAGCCCCTGTCACACATATATACACCTTAACTATACATACAAGCATGTGCGTTAGGTAGCTAGGAGAAATTTGTATAGGAGTGTATGATGCCCCGCTATTTGTTATGCATGTTTTAATGGATCCTTTTATGTTAATTTACTAGCAGCGGTGAAGGAAACAGGAGCAAAGAAGAAAAACACTTGTAAAAAGATGATATACGTAGAAAATGATGTATATATTACTGTTTGGTATATATTGTGCCTCTACTAGAAGGATATTTATACATTTCTATTCAGTTCTTCTTTGCCCTTATGGAAATGATGGATCTTGTTATCACTAAAAGTTGTTACTCCCTGTGTTCCAATTTAAGTGAACCTGTTTAACTAGGTATGGAGTTAAAAAAAAATGAAGATTTTTGGAATTTATGGTCCTAAACAAATTAAAAAGGAGCTTAGAGTATTTGTGTGATTGTAAAATCTTTCTCATTAAGATAAAATTGTAAGTTTAAGCTAAACTGTCTTCGAATTTTGAAACGGACCAAAAAGAAACAGATATTAAAAACTTAGATCCTCAATGGCCTAGTTGTTCGGAGTAGCTCTTTGAAAGAATGGCGCGGGGAAAAAGGGACACGTGTATGATTGAGGTTAAAATTAGATGGTCAGCAAACGGCTTTGACATGAAGGGAAAAGCAAACACGCCGTCTGACCGCTTCACTGTGGCTGCGCACGTGCAACTTAACCGTTTGACCACTTCACAGTTGATGGAGCACAGATTACAAGACCAAAGAGTTCGGTTAATTATATATGTTGTGTACTCGTAATTGGCTCGGCAGCTGGGCTATTTTGTTCATAATTGTATCATCAGAAATAGTAACTAGACACAGATGGAATACTGGAGGGGCGTAAAATGGAAAGAGTGATGGCATCAAATTAAAATTCCTATTGTGTTGAGATGTGTATCCAACTATGGTCATACAGTTGTCCATAATGAAGAATTGATACAAAACTAAATATGTAGGCTACTACGTGAAACGTGAAAATGACACTGATTTTAAAGGCAAAGATGGATAAGGGGAAAGTAGTACAGTAGAAGACACTGGGGCCTATTTTATAAGCATTCATGTCAAACTAAGAGAAGCTTTGGGGGACACCTAACAGTGTTACGTTACGGCACCGAGGTGGAGTGGGGATGACTATTTCGAGTCTGGACAAGGACATGGCGCTTTGTCCTCATCCGCGTGGAGAAATTTTACTATGTGAGTTACATATATTCATGCCGGATTAATTTATCTCTTGACAAGTGGGATTCATATTCTTACTTAGTTATTATAAATATTAACTTAAGAAAGCAACGTTTAAGTCTACTTTTTGCCTAATTAAATGCTTAGCAGATGGACAACAAAAGAAAAATAAAAAGGAAAAAAAAATCTCACAAAATCGGTGATCATAGGTGTATGGGGTCAAATTCTGTCCACTATGGTAGCAACGACCCACGACTAAGCAATAGTCAAAGTGAGGGTACAACCTGAGAATGTCGGAGCGAAAACGTGCCCTTAGGTCTCGTCGTCTCCTCGAAAGCACGTGACCTCTCCCTGTATTATTTTATTATTTTTGAGGGGGTTCTATTATTATATAAAGGAGAATCCTAATGCTGTAAAGGGGATCTGATCAAAAAATAGAAAACTCTTTTTCTCTCTCTCTCTCTCTCTCTCTCTCTCTCTAAGCTAGCACTCCTTTCTCTTTCGAATACCCAAGTTGTTGAAACAATAACAAGCATAATACATATTTCTAGGTTTCATTATATTCGATTACGATTTACCTATGAATTATTTTGATTGTTTTTCGCTTATAAAGTAATTAGTATCTTTTGAGCAAAACAATAGGAATGGTAACAAATTCAGCGGATATTCTTTCATTATATTATTAGGTCTTCTCTTTCATAATAAATAAAATTTTAACTGAAAATCTTGCATTTTAGGATTCATTCTACTTTGAAGAATAAAACATATACTTTGTACTCAAAGAATATGGAGGATTTACAGTTTGATGGCATTGTGAATTTTGACGGAGAAGGTAAGCTTCAACCTGGACTTTATGCAATTTAGTATTCTCAATTGTGCATGTTCTTTGGATGGAAACTTGATCTAATTTATTTATATGATGTGTTGTTATATTTTACAAATGTATAAATGGCTCGTGCCCTTAATTTTTACTTAGATCCTAAAATGCAAGATTTGTTATAAAAAATAAAAGAATAAGAAGAGTACTGCAGAGAAAAGTAGTGAGAGAACTCTTATTGATTTTGAGATGAATTACAAAGGAATATAACCCCTCTATTTATAGGGGAGAAAGTGACTTATCCACCAAGTAACAAACCCTAAAATCTCTTTAAAATTTAGACATTCACCTTAAAATATAATTCTATTTATAACATTACCCTTTGAATGTCTATTCAACAGATAATTTGTCTATTTAAAACCAGTGGGAAAAAATTCTAGTAAAGGAGAAAGAGTACACATATTAGAAATATGCCTTTTGGTTGCCTCTTTAAAAATCTTGCAAAGAAAACCCAGTGGATTTACCTTGTAAGGAAAAAAGAGTACAATGCGTATTAACTGCCCTTGATAAGACAATCAATTCACATCTTTGAGCCTTCGCATTCAAATCTTCTTTACCATCTTCAAAAGATCGTTGGCAAAAATTTGATAAACAAATCAGTCATATTAACTTGAATAAATATGTTACACCTTGAAATCATCATTCTTGATAGATATGTAATGTCTTCATATAATATCGTGGAATAACCTTTTCAATATCTGCATAGAGGTATTCTCGGTATCACGTTATCATGCTTACAATTATAGCAAGATATATATGTGCACAAATTGCACTTAGGATATGGTACTTCAGGACCAAGAATTGTATATGCTTTAAGCGATTTAATTCCTTCAACAAATTGTCATAAGTTAAGTCATACAAGCCATATAAAATGGACATTAGATTTACATCAAGTTTTTATGTCATGCTAGACATATAAGATAAATAAAGCTGATTGCACACACCATTGACTTTATACTTTCAAGTGTTTTAACTACATGTCCAAAACTAAATATCTTTCGTATGAAACCAATTCTATTAGAATTTTGTCTCTTCCATTTGGCCAATATTTCTGTGGCTGTATTCGACAGATTTAAGATCCTCATCTACGCTTAGCGTTATCATAGATGTCATCGACGAACATTTCAATTTTAACCTTCCTTTTTTCATGAAGACATAACATAGAGATCTTTTCATTCATATTTTCGGGTACATATACCTCTCTTGAGATTTTATAAAGTGTAATATTATGTGATCTTCTAGATCACTTGCCTCCTTATTATGATCATTTTGATCATTTGCTCATCTTCTTTATCAAGAATTTTATTTGAAACTGATTTGTCTAACGCTTTAAGCATACCATAGACTTTGTCCTTCTAGGACTTGTTCAAATAAGAGCATTTGCAATGAGAATATAGTTACTTTCTTTGGGTTATCAAATGCGTTTGGAATGCTTTCAATATATTGCAGATGAATTATCTTTTTATGAATATCAAGTTCATATCATCTTATTCGAGGATCTAGATGTAGAAATGATAATTCATTCCACGTAATTTTTTCTCAATTGTTTATCATGTCTTCCCCTCGTGTTAGAAAAATTAGCTTGCTTCCTCAACTTTGAAAACACACATTTGTGTGTTATGGTATTAATCAAAATATACACCGCACGTCAATAATAATAAGAAGCAATTATTTGATTCCTTACCCTGAACCACTTGTGAGGGGAGAATATAATATACTTTCGTATATAACGCGTATCAAACTGAAGATAACTTTATTCTCATAAGTAATAGTTTAACTATTAAGTCGAGGCACTCAATAAATTATTTTGCTAAACCAGCTGTGATGTAAACCAACTTATCAAGATGAATTGTCTTGAAATAGAAATTATGGAAATTATGTTCGAAGTTAAATTATTAAGCAAGTTACCTCGCAAACATCAGATTGCGGATTAATAGTAGTCGCACATGTAATCATCTCATAGGTATATCTTATGTGATATACATCGCAGATGAATGTGCCCATATTCACCTTCGATATTTTCAGCATTCATGGGATTCAATCCCAATTTTAATTGGTCTATTAATTAATGAGAACAAGCAACATCAGAGATTCGTAAAGAACTTTCTAGTTCCTTAATGTTATGTGAATTCTCTTTTATTTTTGCACATCATACTTAAATTAATATGGCTAAACCAAGTATGCCAACTGGATAATTATCTTGATAAACTTTATGTTTACACCATGACGTAAAACTTTCACTTTATAGTGGCATTCTATTATTTGCGTAGTACAAATTGGAGAATAAAGCGGGTAGCTTTTTACATACACATTACCCGGCTACAAGTTGTAGTAATAGAAGGTATTAAATTTTTTCTTTATTTATAGTCTCAATATAACCAATCGTTTTTTCGAATACTTTAGAAACTAAATATGTTTCTTTGAGACTTACTATAACCCAATGTCTTATTGATAACTAATTGTATTCCTCCAAAAAAGTAATGATTGGCTCTTCATGAGCTCTCAATAATTTAGAACTACCACATATTTATCAATATCCATATGGTGAATATCTCTTTTAAAGAGAAAGTTATACCATTGTGGTCATGGTCAAAATCTTTATAGGTAATATATGTCGCTTCAATTACTTTTGCCCTATAATAATCACAGATGAGAATTTAAATTTGATTAACCCGCTTCAGGTTGTTGCCCAACTATCTTGCTTTTTCTTTTATTTTAAATATAAAAGAAGTGATGTCAGGGAGAGGCACATGATTCTTCTTTGCTTCATATTAAGCATAATATGTACTATCTATCTAAAGGGAATCCATTTTGGATTTCTATAACGAGTTGACGACGTTTTCACTACTCAAACTTGAAAAAGTCTTTTACACCTTCGGGAAAGCGTACCGGAAGACCCAACTTTCCTCCCGTCTTCCTTTCTATTCTCACTCTCATTCGAAAGATGAATGCAATTGGAGTAGAATCTCTTTCCCTTACTAGGTTTAGGATGGTTTAGTAAAAGGGAGGGGAGATTTTTTCTTCATCCGGGGGTTCATTCATTATGAACTAAAAAGTGATTGGCTGATTGGTGAGGTCTTAAAAACGTCATAGAATTCATGATGGACCATTCCATTATTGCTTTCAGCAAGTAGGCGACGCGAATCTATGCTTTCTATATCAAGTCAAGTGTTGTTCGGTGTG